AGTATCGAAAAATACCTCTGCAGAACCAGTCACGTTTCACGCAGGGACCTAGCCATTTTCCGATTAATAACGAGAGAAACTAACTCCGAAAAATAGAGGAAAAAGAGGAAGAGGAAGAAACGAGAGGAAAAAGGAAATAAAACTCGAACGAATTCGCGCGAGCAAACGTTATTACGCTTTCAGCGGCGGAGTATCTCTCTCCATTGGAAACAGATTACCGGCGAAAAATTGAAGATGGATAGGATGTAAGGACGCTGGAAAGGGGGTGGAAAAAGGTACGGAGGAGCCGCGGCCACATTCATTTTAACTGGCGCGTTGCTTTTCGCGACAAAGAGTCCTGAATTCGACGCGCGCTTCGTCGCCTATCAGCGACAAAGGAGGGCCCTAGAAGATACCTGGGCGCGTCTTATCCGCGAAATTCAGCCGACAAAAGTATGTCAAGCTTGGCCTGTCCTCGTCCTTACCACGGCCATTGTGTTTCTACCCCTATTCCACTTAATGCGACGCAGGCTAGACGGCAAAAAGCCCGCGAGTGCTGGAAAATGATGGAACTAAGGAGCCAGGAAGCGATGGATGGACAAGAGAGGCCGAGGCGAGGGAAATGGGGATGCTCGAAATCCTCCAGACGCTTTTGACGCGATGAAACCTCTGCCGGGTTATATATTGTACGCCTGCTAACTGCACTCATTAAGCTGGCAGTTGCTACAAAAACGAGCGAGCGTAGTCGCGATTGAACGTGGGCTTTAGCTTAGAGGAGAACGTTCGAGGGAAATTTAATGAGTTGAGGATCGCGTTTGCAAGGAGTATGTATTTACGCTCGGTGGTGAATTCGGGGAACGGGGGTAGTTATCGCTGGACGAATGAAAACGATGCGTTCTTTGGTAATGATTAATGGATTAGATCCTCTATCACGTTGCTGGGCATCGGTTGTTTTATTTAACGCGGAAGGTTCATTAACTCTGCGGCACAGGATTTCGGATAATAAAATAGATCCATGTTGCATAAGCAATGATTAACACTAGGTTTACGGACACTATCTGTATACCTATTTCTAAGGACACTTGTGAAATTGACAGATTAAGGACACCACGTGCCTTTTTCTTTAACGATTAGTTTAATTTAAAAACAATTATATATTATATTAACCCTTTGCACTCGAGAGGTGATCTTCAGTCACCATTTCATAAAATTTGGAAGATCGATATTAATTAATATATCAAATTTAATGTAATGCAACAGTGTGCGAGGTATCGAAATCAAATAATTCTATAATTCTATTATTATACAATTCTTTATTTACTGCTCAGAAAAGTATCGTCAATTTTTTAGTAGAGAATCTTTGAATTTTTACTCTTCTCTAACTAAAAAGTTGTCAAGTGCAAAGGATTAACAGTCTTAATATAAGTTAACTAAATCTGTTACCATCATAGAATTGGAGCAATCATTCCGTTAAATTGCCGGGTTTCGTAAATCTAGTATTAATCATCCGCTATTTAACTTGGGACGAAACGTTACAAGCATGATCGAAATCGAAACAAGGATACATTCCAGCTACTTGCATGTGGAGTATCTCGATATTGTCAGGATACGATAAAATACCGTGAGTACCGCGAGTTAGGCTGTAGCATGAGCGAGCTGGACGCTACCTGATCGCGAGTGCTAATTGCTATAAAGCTTCGAGTACACGCATAAACGCGATTGCACTCTTAACTCTTTGCGGCACAGGATTTCGGATAATAAAATAAACCCATGTTGCATAGAAATTTTATTGCGTTTTAAATGAAACAAAATTGGTATATTTATACTAATAAAGGAATCGCATAATGTAAAATAATAACAATTTAAATGAATTTGTTGTTATAGGATGGGACTCAAATAGGGTGGATCCCACGGTGTCATATGAGTTCATGTTGGTTCAAAGTTATTTAGCTATTTTTTGACGGTCACTAAAATTCATAGTATCCATAGGAGAATAGATGGTAACTAACAAATAGGAGAATAGATGTTAACCATTGCAATTGCATCAAAAGGTAGCACACTTTTAATCCCACCGTGTCCCAAAGAGTTAATCGAACGCATGCGGGTGCCTGTTTACATTCAACGGAGTGTAATTTAATTAGAGAATTAGGGGTGAAAATGAATTTAGCCCCTGTTATTACTTTTACTGCGTATAATAGAATCTAATTCGCAATACGCAATAACAAGATCGTAAACGTCAAATCTAACAAACCTGCCTTGCTATATGGAAAATTATAGCTAATATCCAACATTTATTGCCTGCTCATCGATACATTAAATTCAACGAGGTCTTGTTGAAAGAACCGGCCTATCTTTTCTGTCCACCAGCTTCGAATATTTCTCATTAACTGCTGCATTGAATAACTAGGTAAATAAGGTCTACCTGCCAGCACTATTTGCACGAATTCAGCGTTTCATTATCTGTCAGACGTTCGCAATAAATAATCCTGTCCTAATCTCGCTAAATACGCGGCAGGGTTTAATATCGATTGTCAGGGGCTCCACGAGCTTGCCGAGCAACTTAATAACCACTTGCAAATAATTATCGCTATAATTCCCTTTTTATAGCTATCAAGTGCGTGTAGAATAGCGCGTATTCTCACATTTTATGCCTGGTAGATGGAACATCGGCCATGCGATGAGAATTACCCCTCCCCTTGACATCGGCATTATGCTAAGCATCAATTACCAGGGCAGAGAGGAGAATTGGGGTACGATACACGCGCTGGAATTACAAAGCGATATGGAAAGCACAGAGGGGATGAAGAAAGCAGCGGGATTCGGCAAACAGATTGGAAAGCCAACAAAGTTATCGAACAACGGTAAAGGGAAGCCTGCCAATGGGGAGGGTAGGATGAAAGAACTTTCGCGAAAAGAAGTCGAATAATACCGTGAATGGGGGAGAGAACCGGGGCAAAGGCGAAGGAAGGAAAATTACAGAGCGATCTCGGGGAGAGATAAGGAATTATTTGAAAGATACGTAAAAATGAATGGTAAAAGGTAAGCCGTGGTGGGAGAAAAATAGCAAAGGCGCAGACACGCTGTAACGAAACGATATTAAAGCCGGTTTGAGTGGTGGCTGAAAATAAACAGCTAGAGGAATAAGAACAACGAGCTGAGGCTGAATTGGCCAGAAAAGAGAACGCGAACGAGTAAAGGGAAAAGGCAACGAAACGGAAGAAGTTTCGAAACGATTAGCTCGAGAGAAATTGCAAATGGAAGGTGAAGAATTTCGCGCTGGGGGAGTTGGTGGTGGCCAGACCTAGGGGAAAAAGCGGAAAGCACTAGGGTAGATATGTTACGTTTGGTTCACAGATTATCGTGTTTAACCATTTGTTAAGACTTCCTAACGAACGTTCCAGGGGTGGAACTACTTTGTCCTGGTCAAGGAACATTTGTATCATGAACGCTAGTAGTGACTCCTCGACGCGTTTTTACAGATTCCTGGATTCCTCGCAACTCTTTCTTTCAAATAGTGCAATCTCGTAATTATTAATAATTTATGATCTATCCCTAATAATTTATGATCTTCGATTTTGCTACATCCTTGACTAATTTTGCTAACAGTCGAAAGGTATAGTTCCACTAAAAACCGGAAAAATTATAATTCGTATGTTCATTAGTCAATTTCGTTATAAATAATTTCCCAGGATCGAAGATTGTGTGTACCTGGTTATAATTCATTTTTCTGTATTATTCGCATTTTATAACACAAAGATAATCAGTATTATTATGGAACACGAGGTTTTATAAAAGTTTTATTCCTCGACTAATTGCATTCTTCGATTCAAACACAACGGGCATGAAAGAGAGTAAAACTTTTAATTCTCGGGATAAAATTGTATTATCTTATTTCATGCATAATTAAATACCACAGTGTCCACGTGTTTAACTTCATGTTGAAGTTTCATTGAAATTAAAATCCAACTTTTATTCGAACCGGCAAGCGTCAACTTCTATAATTTAATTTCGACATGATATTTTTAAAAGAATTCTCAGAGTTCTTCGGATAAATGGCTCTAAATAATTGAATTATAAGCAATTCCGATATTTGCACATTGTCACGTGGACATTCTTTTATAGTATATAATTCTTTCTATAAAATATTTAATCAATGATATATCTATTTCTATCTTTTTACTCGAATTTTCTAGAATTATTTAATAAATTCAGAATTGTGTTCAATTAATCTCTTTCCATCACCGTATGTTGGTGACATCATGACTAACTGTACATCACACCTAATGAACGACCAAACTTTATCAAGATCTATGACCAATCGAAATTACAATTTATCACTATGAATAGAAACTCAATTTTTATTTTTACTCCATTCTTCAGAACTCTGTCGTTATCTCCTCTGTTTACAATATCGTGCGAGACACGTGGTAAATGAATCGGGCCAAACTCGAGTGCGACGTGTGAGAGCCGTGTTCTCCAAGTACGACCCAATGTAAACGACACGGATCAGTCTCGCGGTTAACCCTTTGCACTCGGCGATCTTTTCGTTACAGAAACATAGTAAATCGAAGACTTTCTGCCATAAAGTCGACGATATTTTCAAAATGGTTACAAATTAATTGTAAGACGTAGAATTATTTTACCTCGATATTCCACGCGTCGTTGGGCAATTTTCAATTCCAGATATTAATTAACGACGATCTTTAGGATCTGATTAAATATGGCGACTGAGGGTCACCTCTCGAGTGCAAAGGGTTAATTTTCGTCCATGTTTTGCCGTCTCAATTACGTGTTATTTTCTGCTGCGTTCAGTTGTAGTGACTAGACGTGTCTCTACACATCCGAAGTTGCTATTGACTATGACACGCGTCATCGCAAACTTAAATCGCAAGATAAGGGGTTAACGTACGCGGTCCAACATCGCACTCTGTCTTTACCCAGGAAACTGGGACACCCCGTGTAAAATATCACGAGGTCTAATAGTCTAGCATGCACTGGTACGAGTACAAAAGCTCACTCACCAGGCGTTATATTTGGGAACGGTTGACCAGGCAACGATGGCGGATGCTCATCCTCTGGAGACCTCTCCGACGCGTAACCTTGATCCTGCGGTTCCCCGCCAGCCAGTTTGCTCAACTTCAAATCGATGCACTTGCTAAGTTGTTGTCGATGCCTGACCAACTCGCAATCAGGCTTATGCACGATCTGCATCAGCAGATCGTCGTCCGCAGTGTTGGGTACGCAGGACTGCGAGGATGAAGAGATCGTGTCTGATGTCTTCTCGCCGTTCCTGCTGTCCTGCTTTCGTTTAGGCAACGTGCCGACCAAGTCGAGGTCTGCATTTCGTTGACACCTGTCCTCCAGGGACGTGCCCCGGTTGTACCTTCTTGCCGGGTCGCCCGACACCGTGTCGACACTGCGATTTCTTCTCACGGAGTCGAAATTCCCATGGCGACATCGTACTAGATCAAGGTCGCTCTGTTGGTACCTGCGACAATCAACCATTTTTCCAGTCAAGCATGTGATAAATGTGATACAATTTCTGTTACATTTTATATGTTATACAGCTTTTTCATATTTTTATACGTGTATTTCATTTTGAATTGGAATTTTGAAATTAATTTTGATGGAGGAAAGAATCTTTAATTTCCTTGTGGTGAAATGGAGAGTATTTCTTATCTGATTTATGCTTATTTTTATTCTTGGCCCGATTTAAATTTAACCACTTGCGCTACCAATAAACTCACGGTTGCAGTGCCGTGCGCTACAGTATAACACGCGTAAGGTGTCACATTGGCGCCGCGAGATACCGTATCGATTCTGAAATATTTCCAAAATATCAATGACACTATGCGACGCTGTGCACTCTGAATCTATAGTTCGGGAAATGAACGATCTGGTTGTTAGTCGACGTGCAACCCACGTCATTTTTATTTCTGCGATAAATGCCTATCCACGTGGTGTACACGTCGCTGGCGATTTTGGAACAAAAGCATCTCGACGTGTGTGGCACGTCTTTCTAGCGCAAGTGGTTAAATCCTTCTATAGTGAAATAGAGGATGAGTTTGACAATATTAGGAATATGATAGAGTATGCTATATACTATATAGTCAGGAATATGATGGAGTTTTAAATGTGAGAATGAAGGGAATTGTGATTTATTTAATTCCTATAAGTCATGTGATTTAGAAATGATATATAAAGGCATCTGTATTTTTCAATTTTATTTTATTTATTTACCATTATATCCTGTATTTTATTACTATATGATTGTACTGATGCTAGATAATTCGATTGTAGCAATCGTAGATTTATAGTCCTCAATTCAAAGGAAGAAACTTTGCTCATTTAGAAATCATTCTCTTATAGACAATGGAAATTACAGGTTGTACAGGGTCAACATTGTCGAGTGGCAACGTTTGTTGTATAAGTAACGAAGGAACGTTTGAATCACGAGGATCATTATCGGAGATATTATACAAGTGATTTTGATTTGGATACAATGATTCACTAATAATAAGTAACTATTGTTGTTGTGTAACTAGGCCACATGGAAAATTCAATTTTAGTAGTACCAAATTGAAAATAATTTTAAAAATTTTATTTTTGTAATTATCAAACATGTCCAATTACTTTTGACAAAATTAATATTGAATTTTGTTTAGATATGCGCATATATTTATTTTTCTTCATATATCATTTTAATTATTCTCATTAACATAGAGTATAATAGCGAATGGTAACTAAATTAGGTGGATTGTAGTATCGCAACAATCACGAGTCCGTGAAAGACGCAGAATTAGGTTGCAATTTATGGTGACCTTGTTCCTAAATATCTTGGCATTGAATGGATTCATAAACGTTTGTATGTGGGACAAAGTGTCTTGTCAGGCGTCTTAGTATGTACTTCGTAGGTTTCGAAGCTAGTTGGTGAAGATGGTCTCGTGTTTAAAACTTGAGGCGAAACTTGGTACATATTTAAACGACTTACGAGATCAAATGCGTGAACATACAGAACGTAATACTTTAGCTTGACTGAGGTAAAACAATTTCGTATATTTTAGAATATTTAAAAATCGATTTTCTGTCAGGAATAACGAACCGATATGCTGTCCATCATCTATTTATTTTCACTATCACATATTTTAAAATTTTCTCCAAATATATTAAATTCACTGTAAAACTGAGATACTTAGTAAATTGTAAGTCGAGCTTCGAATATTTCTGCAGCGATTATTAATTTGCAATTTAATGTTCTCTCGTAGTAATGAATATTTATTAGAGCAATGAAACAAATTTTTAGTTTAAAAAATGTTTCTTTTTCGTTGTGCCGTGGAATTTTCATAAAATTGGTGGGTCTTATCATCTCATTTGCATTAATTTATACGCGTCGTTGCAATATTCATTTTGTTGCAGAATTGTTATGCAAATTGTGTAAATGCCGCAATTGTATTATCTCAGTCCGCGATACCTATTTTTGCGGTTATTTTAATGGCTTTCGCGATTAACACGACACCTGGTGGAACTTATCCACGAAGAAGCGCATTATTCTCGAAACACTGAAAATTCTACGTTAAGAGAATCCTGTTGCTTTAAGATCGCTCGTATAAATTAGAGAAAAGTCGTAACAATCTTGTAAAGTATACTTTGTCAAAGCGTCTTCCGAGTTTCGTTATATTTTATTCAATCTCTTCCTGTCGTTAATTCACTTTGCTGCAACTAGGACTTGATAATTCAGTAGCACAGCAAAATACTGTGACTGATTTGACTGAAAATAATTTTTTCACGAGATTTTAATTTAAATAAAAAGAGTAGATTTATCAGTAGTAAATAGTAAATAGTAAATAAATAGTAAAAATAAGTAGATTCATAAGGTTACTTCAGTCATAGAATTTTAAATACGTTCATCCACCATTTTCACACTAAATTATTTCCTTACCTAATTCTATGTACAATATTGCGATTAGTGTACTACCATGTATTTTATTTTTAACACTGAATACCTCTATTCATTCTCGATACAAAATTTGATATATCTTTCTCAATAATTATGAGAGAGTACAGCAAACTATTTTTACTATTTTTATATCTACTAAGATACTTTGGAAAATAAATATCATAGCATGGATAATAAATTTACTAGCTCTATTTTTATTCTCAATTTTTGTATTCCAAGTGATATACTGTTCCCAATACTTTCTTATAGTTGACATATATCTTTCTTAATAATTATGACAGAGTATAGTAAACTATTTTTATTATTTTCATATCTATTAAGATACTTTGTAAAATAAATGTCATGGCATGGATAACAAATTTACTAGCTCTATTTTTATTCTCAATTTTTGTATTCCAAGTGATATACTGTTTCCACTATTCTCTTATAGTTGACATATATCTTTTTCAATAATTATGACAGAGTATAGTAAACTATTTTTATTATTTTCATATCTACTAAGATACTTTGTAAAATAAATGACATGGCATGGATAACAAATTTACTAGCTCTATTTTTATTCTCAATTTCTGTAGGCCAAGTGACATACTATTCCCAATACTCTCTTATAGTTGACATATATCTTTCTCAATAATTATGACAGAGTATAGTAAACTATTTTTATTATTTTTATATCTAATACTAAGATACTTTGCAAAATAAATGTCATGACATGGATAACAAATTTACTAGCTCTATTTTTATTCCCAATTTCTGCAGACCAAGTGATATACCGTTCCCAATACTCTCTTATAATTGGCATAAATATTTTATCTAGCTTTACACATGTTCTACATACGTCCTGTTACTGCTAGCAGGATAATCTAGAGAAATGACTGATGGCATACCTCCAAGGATCGTTTTCATCCAGAGAGTCTTGCGATCGATGTTTCACGAGGTCCAGGGTTCCAGTTGGTCCACTGTCTGAAAAGTGTACGCCCAACGATCGTTTCTTGTGTGGCAGTGTTCCACCAAGATTTCCAGTGATAGTATCCGTCATTACGTTATTATTTTCCTTTGGATCGTCGTCCAGCACGTCCTTGTCATCTAGATGATTGGGCAAGGAGCCACAGAATTTATATCTGCACAGAAGCATTACTTGTCCTAAGTATCTCCCTAGAAACCTCGTGTGAAATAAAAGGTCGTTTTAAAGCAAACTTAAAATTAGATTAGCAGGAAAAAGTATAATTAAATTTTGCAGTTGAAGTTCTATTAAATTTTCATGTAGAAGTGTCAGATATATTTCGACGAAAAGAGCTTGGAGAACGAAATTTCCTTTAGTTCTTTTACTCGAGGAAAGTTTCATGCCACTCTGTTTAAGAATCATGCTACAGTTGGTACGTTTAATGTAAATTTTAGAAAAATAAAAATGAAAATAATTTAAACTAATGGAAATCTGTGTGGACTAAAATTTTGCAACATTTTTTCATATTCGTGTAGCTTTGGATTTAACTATGGCGAAACATTTTCATTCGTTAAAGTAAATTGAACAATATATAAAAGCCATCTTAAAAATCCAGGTAAATACAGGGTTGCTTTTCAATTATTTTTAATTCACTATTTTTACAACTGAAATTCGTTTTCACCCTGCACAAATGTTTACTTCAATATTACAGAGTGGAAACAAATATTTTCTCTTCTGGAAAACCTTGCAGAAATTAAAGATATTACATTGCATAATATTTTTGATACAAAAATTGGAAGTTCAAAATGTTCCATTTTATACCGTAATCGATATTGTACTATTTGATGTAATATCGTATTATATAGTCCATGTTTCCTTTATATGGAATGTGAAACAGCAACCGATTACCTAATTCAAACAATGCTTTTTAATTTAAGGCTAAACGAGAAAGGCAGATGTTGCAAGAAAACGTATTGTCGATGTTTGCATAATTTACATTGTTCGGTGTTTGTCTACTTCCCTGGGTTAATTGGTACGTGTATACACGAGGTTTGACTTAACATAGAATTGGAGCAATGAAGGTTCAATTTGATAGGTTAGTTACATCTCTTAACGATAAATAAAACTTTTATAATTATAATTATAAATAAAACCCCAAAATTCTCCTTATATTTCATTCACAGTAGAATACAGAGTAGAATATAAGCTCCATAAGTTAAAATGTCACAATGAAATATATAGAAAATTTTTAATTTCTATATTTTACAAAATTTCTCTCGAAAAATTAAAGGTTCTAATATTTAAGAGAGAAATGGGAAAATTTACTTTCTAATCTCGTGCAATGACACATCTGCAGATTTAAAAAAAATATATTTCAATATCTATTTCATTTCTACTATATATATTTTATTTCCGTGTGAACAGAGCTTAATGTAACGAAAGCTTGAAGTCAAAGCATGTATCACGTCGTTCGAGTCGGTGTGAAAACGGCTTAATGTGCAACGTCTATAATGGGACTATTGCATAGTTTAATTGGCTATCTTAATTTATTTTAACCCGTGCTGTATTAATCGAGATTTAAAAGTTCAATACCAGACGCGATATCAAATTTTCGTAAGAGGACAAATTGCGAATCTCGTTTCGCTATGCGATTGTGTCCACATGTGATATGGTCTGTCAGCCATGATGCACGGTTTCGTGACGAACTACGTCGACAGATGTCGCGTGGGTCGCACGTGTTGTCATTCCCGAAGTCACGTTCGTCGAGCGCTGTACAGGTTATATGCGTGAACATCCTTCGAAATTCGCTGGAGCAATTTGTACGGTAAGACGTTTTAATCGGCTGTATCTTTATATACGCGTTATGCGCGTTCGTAACTGTTTCTTTTAATATTCCAATGTCGTGTTCGTTATTCGCGATTACTGTTTGAATTCGTAGCTGTTTCGACGATTTTTCAGGTCAATGAGGGTGTTTGTATTCTGCAAGCTGACCGTGCCGCTTCTTGTAATTTAATTAAAGAATTTGCCAGTTGTGTTTCAAAGGTATTGGGCATTGAGTAACAGGTATGGAATAAATGGAAAATAGAATAAAATAGGATCGATTGGAAGAATAGTTGTTGCGTTTGGTAGGTATAAAGGTTAACTTTAAATGGAAAGGAATTTAAGAATTTTTTGTAATAGGGAATATGCTTGTTCGGTAATTTATTTTATTACTAGTTGCAATTGTACGTAACTCGAGTGTCGTTATTATACTGTTTTTATTTTTTGAAGGATATTTTATGGTAATAAGTTGGAAGAAAATGACGTATTTAGGAATGAAAGGTAAACACTTTGTTTCACAAACTACGATTCCTTGCTGCGCTTCTATTTGCGATGAAATCTCGCGAAACTTCTTAGGATTACTCAATACTTCCTGTTTAAATACTTCTTCGCAACTTCTTCCACGCTCCGAACTATGTTATAAATTTGTTTTCCGCAAAGTCTGCAGATTATTTTCATTTCAGATTCCATCTGTCAAAAGTCTGTAAGATACATTTTCATTTTATAATCCTTAAAATCCACTGCACTTTTCTGCAACTGCCTGGTACCAGATATATATTTACACTATTTATTCTCCACTCTCTAGGAACTTTTTTGCACAATATATTTGATAAAAAATTTCTTGAAACAAGGATTCTTATTCTTAAATAAGGATTCGTGCATCATAAATATTATCTTGGAGAGGTGTTAGTGAAATATAATAAGGTAAAACCAAATATTTAATGTAATGTAATATAATAATATAATTAATAATTAATAATTATTATAATATAATATAATAAATATGGTCAATGTAATATAAATTATTGTATTCACTAGACCTCGCATTCTCTGATTTTCACCTATTTCGATTATTACAAAATTCCTTTAATGGAAAAAACTTGGTCGAGATAAAAAATTACATAGAAAAGTTTTTCGCTGAAAAGCCTGAGAGATTCTGGAAGAGCAGAATTTTCAAGTTGCTTGAAAAATGGAGAAAGGTTGTAGAATCAAACGACACCTATATGATTTAACAAATCTATACTAAAATTTAAATCTCCTGCGTTTCAATTTGCCTTCAAAATCGGCACGAACTTTCCGGACAACCCGATATTTTCTTTCTCTTAATACTCTTTCGTTTACAATGTTGTGTGAGACTGTTACCTGGTAAGGAACTCGAACATTCTTATGGTACCACAAATGGTACATGTGGCACGGATCATGTTAAATATCGCGATATTTTAACCCTTTGCATTCGACGACTTTTTCGTTACAGAAAAATAGTAATTCGAAAACTTTCTGTCATAGAATCGACGATATTTTTAAAACGACAAATGAAAAATCATATGCAAATTAAGACGTAGAACTATTTTTCTTCCACATTCCACACATCGTTAGGTAATTTTAAATTTGATATATTAATTAACGTCGATCTTTAGAATCTGATTAAATGGTAACTCTCGAGTGCAAAGGGTTAATATAATGAAATTAATATCGATGTGAAAATTGTACAAAATTTGCTTTCATTTTTCCCAGTTGCAACATCTCGTATTCACTCTCATTGGATCCTCCTCATTCGAATAATTTTCTGAACACAAAGGGTATATCGGCAAAGGGAAAAGAAATTTCTCGTATCACCCGATATTGTTGCGAGGTTAAACAACAGCACTTACGCAAATGAGATCAAGATTCGAGCGCCTTTTAACCCTCTACCCTCTGCTTTTTACCCCGTTCATCCCTGTTCCCTCGCAGCTCGTGCGTCCGTTTTCGTGCAAACGAGGATTTAATGGAAACCGCCCCAGTTCCGCGACTGACCGACCTTAAAGGGACTTTAAATTATCTCGCGACCAACCTGTTATGCCACGTTATGCTCTGTCGTTGCTGGTTGTTTAAGCAACACCGAGCATCGCGTCGTAACGAGAAATCCTCTACAGCGTCGGGCTTAATTCCGTTTACGAGCAGTGTTTCCCTTGATTCAACCTTGATTTATTATTATTTATTTCCCTCTGCGGTTAATTTGACTCGGAGCATTCTCAGCCATAGTTGTGGTTATGGCGACTAACGCTGAATGGGTCTTGAAATTTATTTGAGACTCTTGGTATATTTTTGGTGAGCATATTTCCTGCATATCTAATTTATTTTTAGTATTTTAGCATATTTCATACGTTTCTGGTGCAGGTATAATTTATGTAATTTTAGAATCTCTTCTATTTTGTATATTTTTTATTAAATTTTTATTTTTGGAGAACAGGAAGAAGATACTTATCTGCTGGTGTTTGAGATGTTTAACCCTTTCGCTACTATGAGTTACTATAGTCATCGGCCACGAGACGCTATTTACACATGACGGGTGACTGTAGTCACTGGTCACAAAAATTGCTTAAGTAAAAAATTAAGACAAGTGCTATCACTTCTCTTAGCTCTCTTCGCAAAGAATTGCAAGCTCTATTGCGATGGTCAGTTTTTCCTTTTCTTTCTTCAAAAGATTTGCGTCAAAAGACCGAATGCATGATCGCAATGTTACCATCTTTGACACCTCGCTGTGTTCCACGGAAGAGACTTCGCGGCGACGCTCATCATAGCGAAAGGGTTAATGAGATGTTAACCCATTTGCATCCAAGCGCGGAATATTGCGCGAACCACGACTGTCGTCTATCACCGAGCGCGGAATAATCCGCGAGCTACGACTGTCGTCTATCACCGAGCGCGGAATATTCCGCGAACCACGACTGTCCTCTATCACCGAGCGCGGAATAATCCGCGAGCTACGACTGTCGCCTACCACCGCGCGCGGAATATTCCGCGAGCTTCGGCTGAGCGCGGAATAATCCGCGAGCTGACTTTTTCCCATTACCGGTTGCTGAATACTCTTCATATGCCACAGATCGCGTTTGATCCCTTTTGTGAGCATCTCATCTACATCGGTTCGTTATATTCTTAACAAGTTTTACTTTTGTCGTGAAAATCCTCTTAACTGCCATTATGAGTATGTGCTGATATGCGCGCGGTGATACGAGCTAGTCGTTAGTTGAACGTCGATGATGCCTGAACACGGCACCTTAAGTAGAGCCATGATGCAAATAAGTTAAGGATTTTTAGGCATAGGTTTCGTGTTTCGTTGATACACTTATTAAATTTTTAATTTTAATTAATTTCGTT